AAAAAAAAAAAAAAAAAAAAACGAATTAACAGCCGTTTAGCTGGAGGAGGAATGATTTTAATTGGGGAATACAATGCGGGATTGATGAGCAATGTATCCAGTTTTGGATTTAACCGGAAATGACAGGAAAAGACTGTAAGAAGATGAAAGGTGTCATTCTAATAGATGATTCTGAAAGAAAATTGACCGATTATCCAGCTTAAGCAAACGTTGACGTGATAGGAACTTCTTAAATTCACCTATTTTCAAACGGTTTTATTACTTTTCTGGTTAGCGCAACCTGCTTTTTTCTTAAAAAATCAAAAACGGACCGAGCGTGTACCGCCCAGTCCGTTTTTGATTTTTCGCTCTCTTTATTATTTTTTCAGTATTTGACATTCTCTGTTATTGTTTTTGCCGTCCTTCTCGACAAACATACTAAGTCCCGCTCCTAGCCAGAAGCTTCTCGGATACCAGCAACCAGTCTTTTTCTCAGCATTTGGTCGCCATCATCTTGAATTAGCCGCCTTACAGCGGATGCTTATCGCTAGATACAATCCGAAATGATTGCAGCCTGTTATTGTTTAAACGAATTCACACAAACCTGCATGTTGACATTGTTCCATCATGAAATTTTATGGTGCAAATTTGTGGGAAATGATCAGTTTGAATCTTTAGGCTGGTCTGCTCGATGTGATCTGCATCAATCGGTATTTTGGTTGGTATGTCGACACGGGATACTTGGAAACAATCAACAACAGCTGGGTTTTTGAAATCAGCAACTGGAAGCAAAAATACAGGGACAAGCCGCTAATTGTATCAGAATATGGAGCCGAAGCCATTCCAGGTTTCAATCAGGTTCGCCAGAGGCTGATCCTGGAAAAGAATTTACAGCTACCTGTTTACGCTTACCCATTACAACCATAACAAACAGGCAGAAGACGTATTTGCACAAATAGCTATCGCGAGTTGTGAAATCAGAATTTTTTTAACGGAAGGAGGGGAAAAATTTTTGGACTACTGTGGGATTGACATATCGGTTCTCCATCAAGCAACACTTTAGTAACTGGTAGATTTTAATCGATAGAATACTGCTAGTTTAAGTTACAGATGCATCTCCTCCTACTAGTAATGGCGGCATTAGGGAGAAGTCAGGATGATCGCGATTAGGACACAATGGATCACACAAGCTCTCGAGAGTATTCTCCTCTGGATTTGATGTTCCACGTTTTGCAAGCTAAAATTTCAGGCTGTTTGCTTAGACTTCACAAATTTTTTGCTAAACACTATATTAGTATCTATATTGTTATTGTCATTTTTGTTATTGCTGAAACTATTAAAATTCATTATTCTTACCTTCATTATTCTTGGACATATTTCTTAATAAAATTATTATGCTTATTTAAAAAAAGGGCATTGTTTGGAACATCTCTTCCAGTGCGTCTGAATAGTTCTCTCAAAATACCATCTCTCAAAAATTGCTTGCTTTGATCACTTATGCTGTTAATCGCATTAACGTTATCCTATGAATTCTTTTATACCGTCGCAACAGGGATGATCTGATCAAAGCTTTCAAACTGACCGAATTTTTATAAATAAATGAACTTCTAAATTAGTCATACGAATCAGCAATAAGTATGATAGGAAATTCGAATTGAATGGATCGACAGGTGAAACAGATGCCACTAATCGTGCGTTTTGTGCTGCAACAATTGCACAAAACGCGTATGTCGAAACCCTGTCTTGTGTGCGTGTGTGTGTGAGTACGTGTGTGTGCTCACAGGCGTTTTTTCCAAGGTTTTCAGCCCGGAAGTTGAAATTTAAAGACAGGATCCTTTGCACGAGTGTGATTCGCAAACCCAAAGTTAGTGTCCCCATAATGTCTAGGTCTCATGCACAATCTCACGCGAAAGTTTTGGTGCCTAAATTAATGAGTCAGAAAGCACAGAAGCTGAGAGGCTGAAATTCCAAATGGATGTCCCCTGCTCACGTACGGTCGCGTAAATTTAAACTCAGTGCGAAAATCCTGGCGCAGAAATTGTTACTTCGGGCACCGGAAAAGCTAGACAGCTGAAACTCCAGAAGAACGCTCTCCCTCCCCTCCCCCC